TGTGCTTGATCTCTCTCATTCTCTCTCTCTCAAATAAATAAATAAAAATCTTAAAAAAAAAAAAAAAAGAAGGGCTTGGCTTGTCAAGCTCCAGGAACACATTGGACACAAAACCTCAGAGCAGAGCTTCATCTTCCCTGGGGCTGGAATAAGGCAGAGGCTGGGTGTCCTGGACCCTTAGAAGTTCAGGCCTCCTTCACCCCTCGGGGCTTTTGGGGTCCCTCACAACTCCCCCCTGGCCCCGCCCAGCCTGGCCCCACCTTTCTCATCTTGCCCACAGGAAGCCGGCTCAGAGTGCAGGCTCCGCAGCAAGTCAGCTAGGGTCACCTGACCTCAGGTGAGTGTCTTTAGTCTGCCCGTCTGTGAAATGGGTTCTTCACGGTTCATGCCTCTTTAAGGGCTGGCTGCTCGTATGAATGACATAGCGGCCTCCCTCACTCTGTTTACAAAATTGGCTGCCCCAGCCCTGCCTACCATCTTTCCTGGCTTTATTTTCCTTCCCAGCACTCATGACGCCCTCACGTAGTACATATTTGTTTATGTTCCAGGGACAGGTGGAGCCATGTGTCGCGGGCATCAATGACCCTATGATGTTGTGTGTCAGCAGGATCTGCCTTGTCTGTGATTGTGTGCCCCCCAGGGAGCTGGCTGGATCTGCCTTGTGTCACGCTCTTGTGTGTCTGGAGCGCGGCTGTGTGTCCCCCCTCCCACGGGTGGAGGTGGCTGCCCTTGGGTCTGGCGCATTTGGAGGTGTCGTGACCCTGGCTCGGCTGTTGTCTGCAGGGGTCCTGGTGTGCCTTTGGCATCGTTGTGTGGCCGACTAGAGAGGTGTAGGCTATTGTGTTGTGTTTCTGGCTGGGTTGTGGTTTGCTTGGCCGTGCAGTGGTGTAGCCAGGTGGGGGGGGTGGTGAGTCCTTGTGTGTTACCCTTGGTCTGTGTGCATGTGTGTGTTTATGTGTGTGTGAGAGAGGGAGAGAGAGAGAGAGAGAGTCCCAGCCCCCAAAATCATGACTAATTCTTCCAGCCTCCCGCACTTCTGGACAAGAGACCCCTTTGTTCTCAGGGCAGAAGTGGGGGGGGCTGTTCCTTTTCTCTGAAGCTCCTGGCAAGGTCTCAGCCCAGAGCCGGGCCAACAAAACACTCTCAGAGCTTCTGTGCCGTGCCCGGCCACTTGCTGGGTGTGCTGGGAAAGCCAGTGAGGTCACCAGACCTGTGAGAACCAGAACGGCAGCTGCAGAGATGGGGGGAGCCCCGAGGGGACCCCGACCCAGCCCGCGGGGCTTAGGAGACCTTCCTGGAGAACAGTATTGTTACAAGATGGGCTCTGGGGAAAATGGGAAAATCATGACGCATACAGATCTAAACGGGAACCTGTGTTAGAAGCTGGACTCTCCCTGTTCAGGGGAGGATCAAAGAACAGACACATTTACAGACTGGGAATGTTGAAGCAAATACTGGAGGCAGAACATTTGGGGAGGTGCTGTGGCCTGAATATTTGTGTCCCTCCCCCCCATAAAGGTTTGTTGTTCATAAGTCATGCAGTCCGTGGTATTTTGTTATAGGAGCTCAAGCTAAGGTGGAGAGGGTTGTCCCTCCACAGACAGAATTCACACACACGTCTGCGGAGAATTATTGTGCGTCCCTTTCACATATCCACAATTCACAGGATTATAAAACAAAGCCCACAGCTCTGAAGGATTTGTTATGGGTTGAATTGCATCCTGCCCCAAATTCATGTATGTTGACGTCCTAACCCTCAGGACCTCAGACTGTGATCTTATTTGGAAATAGGTTCACTGCAGATGTACGTAGTTAAGATGAGGTCCTATTGGAGTAGGGTGGGCCACTAATCCAACATGACTTATGTCCTCATAGAACAGGGAAATTTGGACACACACACACACACAAAATGCTATGTGTGATGCTTTTACAAGGAACATCAAGATAGCCAGCAAAACACCAGAAGTGAGGAGAAAAGCATGAATTCTTTCTCCCAGCCCTCACAGGGAACCAATTTTATGACACCCTGATCTCCAACTTTTTTGGGGGGGAGATTTTATTTTATTTATTTTATTTTTATTTTTTTTAATTTTTTAAGATTTTATTTATTTATTTGTTAGAGAGAGAGAGGGAGAGAGCACAAGCAGGGGGAGCGGCCAGCAGAGGGAGAAGCAGGCTCCCTGGTGAGCAAGGAGCCCGATGCAGGACTCAATTCCAGGACCCTGGGATCATGACCTGAGCCGAAGGCAGATGCTTGACCAGCTTAGCCACCCAGGTGTCCCTGAGATTTTATTTTTAAGTAATCTCTACGGCCAGCATTGGGCGCAAACTCACGACCCCGAGATCAAGAGTCGCACGCTCCACCGACTGAGCCAGCCAGGCGCCCCTAGATCTCCCAACTTCTGACCTTTAGAATTGTGAGCTAAATCTCAGTGCTTTAAGCCACGGTTTATGGTACTTTGTGATGACAGACAAACAAATATAGATGTACTATGGAGAAGGCATTGCTTTCCACGGAAGCACAACATTTTCCTTATAATATTGTAACTGAACCAACGTGAGTTCGCTCCTTGGTGAGTCAGAAACTATACCAGGTTGAGCTGTCATATAAGAAAAAGTTTATTTGCAGCAAATAAGGGGATCACAGGGAATAGCTTCCAAAAGTGACTCCCCAAGCAAGGCTGGATGGGTTCCTTTTATTTAGGGTTAGGATGAATATTTATTTATGTATGTATGTATTTATTTATTTATTAAGATTTTATTTATTCACTTGAGACACAGGGATACAAAGAGAGAGAGAGAGAGAGAGAGAGAGAGAACGAGCAGGGGGAGAGGCAGAGGAAGAAGCAGGCTCCCTGCTGAGCCAGGAGCCGGACGTGGGGCTTGATCCCAGGACCTTGGGATCATGACCCAAGCTGAAGGCAGATGCTTAACCATCTGAGCCACCCAGGCGCCCCAGGATGAATATTTATTTTTTTTATTTTTATTTTTATTATTTTTTAAAGATTTTATTTATTTATTTGAGAGAGCGAGAATGAGAGAGAGTACATGAGAGGGGGGAGGGTCAGAGGGAGAAGCAGACTCCCTGCCGAGCAGGGAGCCTGATGCGGGACTCGATCCCGGGACTCCAGGATCATGACCTGAGCCGAAGGCAGTCGCTCAACCAACTGAGCCACCCAGGCGCCCCCCAGGATGAATATTTAGATAGGGAAGCCTTGTCATCCTAGATAGAGGCGGGCATAAGGTCCCGCAGGCACCTTAAGGCAACAGGCCTGTACATGCATTGTATGTTATGTAAATGAGGCGTGTGCTCCACCTTGGGTGGGAATTTCAGTATTATAATGAGATAAAGGTCGGGGCGCCTGGGTGGCTCAGTCGTTAAGTGTCTGCCTTCGGCTCAGGTCATGATCCCAGAGTCCTGGGATCAAGCTCTATGTCTGGCTCCCTGCTCGGCGGGAAGCCTGCTTCTCCCTCTTCCACTCCCCCTGCTTGTGTTCCCTCTCTCGCTCTGTCTCTGTCAAACAAATAAATAAAATCTTTTTAAAAAATGAGATAAAGGTAGTTGTCATTCTAGAGATCACTCCATCCTCCGTCCACCTGCTCAGGTGCGAGTCAGGGGTTGAGCTCAAACTGGTCTGGGTGGTCTGGGGGTCTGGAGGTCTTTTTAGGGCAGTTGCTATGCCTGGCGGGGTGGTTTTCCTTTCCATTTGCCTGAGTTAAGAGATGAGCTGAAAAGAAGAGCTTAAGGAAAAATGTGGGACAAAGGTCGAGGAGTACCAGCAGGTGGGCAGTCAAGGTCAGGTCCTGGGGTCTAGCTGGTGACAATCTGTTGGAGCTGATTCCTGCAGGATGACCAGAAACAGCATGTGCCAAGGCCCAGAGGCAGGAAAGTGGGTGAGGTCCGGGTGGCTAGGGCACTGAGAGAGGGGGCAAGAAGGGAAGGATGGGACCAGGCAGGGGCAGATGGTGCCAAGATTTGGGTTTTTGTTCTGACGGCTCTGGAAGATCTCTATTTAGGGGACACTGATTGCACCCAGCCCTGTGTTGGGCGCTCTATATCCCAGGCTCATTACATCCTTCCAAGACCACCGGGATCAGAAGTCACACAACAGAGGCAGAGTGGAACTTGAACCTTGTGTGCCATCCGCCCTGAGCCAGGGTTATAGCAGGTGAGGACCAAGGACCAGGAGGCAGAGATAGAAGGTGGGGCAGGAAGATCTCTGGCAGAGTTGGTCTTTATTGAGCCATCTCCAAGTGCAAGATACTCAGGTCCTTCCAATTTGAGCGCGCACATCAACTCCCTTATCCTCCAGCCCCCAGGCTAAACCACTCCCAGTAGGGAAGGGATTTTGTCTATCTTTTCATCGCTGACTGCAGGTAGGTCTGCAGTACATATTCGGTAAATGAATGAGTCGTCCCTGAAGGCAATTACGCCCATCTTCCAGACAGAGAAACTGAGGCTCAGAGAGGCGCCCACGCCCTAAACCCTTAACTAGCGGCCAGCTTCCAGCACTTTCCTGAACCCCTCCCCTCGGAGGGGGCTGGAAAGCGCCAGAGGAGGAACTGCCACGGCGCTCAGGCGGCGCCCGGGTCCAGCTGCCCGGCCCGAGGGGCGCGCTGGAGACCTGGGCTTCCCGGGCGGGCCCCTGCGTACCCCCAGTGCTTTCGGACTCGGCCCTCCCACCCTCTCCCCGGGAGGAAAGGGGCCCGAGAGCTGCCCCCTCCCGGCCCACGCTGGAAAACCACCACCCTCCTTGGCAATTGTGTTTTCTTCGCCGATCCTCGGGTCCCAAACCCCGCCCCGCGGGGCCATACCATTCTGGCTCGGAGGGGGGACCGGGAGGGGACGCGCAGAGGCTTCCCCCGGGGCTTCTGTCGGGACGCAGCCTGACCCCAGCGGGGGAAGGGAGGGTACTGCGTGGGGGCTCAGGGTGGCGGGCCGCAGGGTCCCTGGACCCCCACCGTGGGGGCCCGCCGTCCCCCGCCGTCCCCGCTCCCCCGCCGCGTTGGTTCGCGCCGTGGAACGCCGAGTAACCACCTTTGTGCGGCGGGCGCGGAGCCGCGGAGTTCGCCCGTCCCCGCCCCAGGTGGGTCGCCGTCCGCGTCCCGCCCATGCTACGGTCCCCAGCCATGGCCCTCGCCATCCGCGTCGTTTATTGGTAAGCACGACGGCCAGGGGTCCCCCTCCGCGACCCCCCCTCGGCCCGACGGTGCTGGGCGCTGGGGCTTGGGGGCTGGACCCACGAGATCCCTCCCCGAGAAAAGGGGTTCCTGCGGGTGGGGTGGGCGTGAGGGGACCGGCGGGAAGGAAGGGCGTTGATCCACCTCCGCAGTGCGTGGCACTCAGGACAGCTCAGGTTATCGAAGGTGGAACCGAGACACGTGTGTGGCCATTTAAGACACCCGACTCCGGGGGCTCCGTTTGCGGAGCGGGTGGGGGGGGTCACTTTTAAAATGGGAGAGGAGCCTCTGTCAGCATTTAGGTTTCCCCTCCCCCAGCACCATGAACGGTCATGGGGTGGGGACGGCGAGAGTCGGGAAGGTTCGAGAATGTTCCAGCGTGGGTTTGAAAGGAATGAAGACTGTGGGTGCCCATCGTTAGTAGCCCTCCTTCCTTTCGGGTCTGGGTTTCCCCATCTGCAGAGGGTGAGAGCGTGATCTCGGTAGTGACCACGCAGGGAGTGCATGTTTGAGCCAGCTTCCCCGCTAGCGTGAAAAAGCCCCGAGTGGACAGGGGATTTTCTCTCTCGTTGACTGCTCCGTCCCCCTGCGGGCACCTAGCACTGTGCGGACTTGCAAAGACAGGCCTGCCTGTGGGCGCTTAGTAAATGCACGATCAGCGCATTGCACCTCCCAGAAAGTGCTTGCAGGAGGAGAATATTAGCTCCGTCTTCCTTATAGGGGAGGGTGGGGTCAGGTCCGAAGCTGGAGTGAAATGCCCTGGGGCAGCCGCTGATTCTGAAAGGCTCCGATCTGCGGGCGGGCGCGTTAGAAATGTCCCCGCACCCTCCGCAAGCAAAGCGGAGGGTGGAGTGACATTTTGAGGCCCCACGCGGCCTGTCCTGAAATAGCCTGTCGTGGGGGTTGGGGAAGCGTTTGGATTCCGGCCTCAGGACTGGGAGGACCTGGGAATCCGGGAGTAAAGGTTTTCGGGACACCTTACCCCACCACCCGGGGCTGTGGGTGGGGGTGCTGCTTCTTTGGTTCTCATCCTAACCCCGTTTTTTGTTTCCTCCCTCCCGCCTGTGTCTCATACCTATGGTCTCTCCTTGTCACCCACTTGCTCTGCGCCCCCTCTCCGTCTCTTGGCTCCCCTGCTCTGTATCGGTTTTCCTTGTGTGTGGGTGTCCACCTCCTGTCCCCCGTCCCCGTGCCCCTTCCAACATTCTCTGCGTGTCTGTCCTCTCCTCTCTCTGTCCCCTCTTTGGTTTTATTGTCTGCGTTCCTCTTCATGTCTTTTTGGGCCCCCTTACGTTTCCCTGGGTCTCCCCCACCCCCCACCCGCCTGCCTCTTCTCCTCTTCCTCCTCTCCCCGGATCCCCACCATCTCTCTCTCTCTCTCTCTCACCTGGGACCCACTCTCTTGGACTCTCTCCCACCAGTGGCGCTTGAGGGTACAAGTCCAAGGTAAGTGGAGGGGCCAGCCCCGAGATGTCCCTGGAAGATGAGGGAGGAGGGCGAGCTGGTCTGGCCCCTGTTGACCACAGTTGTGACCCCCCACGCCTCCTTCCCAGTATCTTCAGCTCAAGAAGAAGTTAGAAGATGAGTTCCCCGGATGCCTGGACATCGTGAGTCTTGGGGATGGGGAAGAGAATCAGAGATGGGTCTCCTTGTGTGTCCCTCAACCCTGAGGCGGCAGCAGGGTGGTTTGGGCTGCCCTTCACCCCCATAATCTCCATTTCCCGGGAAGGTGCAGGTGTCCCCAAGTGGGCCGCTCGGCCCCTCCAACAACATCTCTCTCCCCAGTGCGGCGAGGGGACTCCCCAGGCCACCGGCTTCTTTGAAGTGATGGTAGCCGGGAAGTTGGTTCACTCCAAGAAGGTAATGGTGTCTGTCCGTCCGTCTCGCCTTGTTCTCAGGCTGGCTGGGTGTTGGGATCTCACCCCTTCCCTCTTCTTCCCCTCCCCAGAGAGGTGATGGCTACGTGGACACAGAGAGCAAGTTTCTGAAGCTGGTGGCCGCCATCAAGGCCGCCTTGGCTCAGGGCTAATGTGCCCTGAAGGCAGAGGTGAGGGGTCCCATCTCCTACACACCGCAGTCGACAGCCAGTTCCTAACGTACTCCGAACCTAAGACTCGTTTCCGACCCGATATTATCTAGAATGGGTAGTGGCGTCCATATGATTCTCTGGGTCATAGAACTGCTTTTCAGTACCTCCCGAGCCTGATTTCCCGTTTCCAAGCCCGTGTGTTCCAGATGAGCTCCAAACCCCACCTCTTCTAGAACTGGGCACCTGGGCACCCGATGCTAGCCCACTCCAGAACCAGGTTCTGGCTCCTGACACTGAGAGCCTGGCCGTATTCTCCCATTCTCTCTACTTGAGCACCAGTCTCTCCCCCTTCTCCCCTGTTGTTCCGGAACGGACTCTTCCATCCCAGTATATGGTGGACCCAAGTTCCTGTCCCCAGGAGGCTTGGCTCCAGCGGACTGGTTTCCAAATGCTTGAAATTCAAGTTCTGTTTCTTAGAGTCCTTTACTAGGGCAGAGCGAGGTCACCTTCGCTGTGAATTTGAACGTGCGGATTGAATTAATGCGATACGCACAAAGCGGTGTCTTGCTTCCCGTGCAGGTCTGAAATGGAGGACTCCCCAAATTAACACAGAGAAAGTCAAGAATTACATAATTCCAAAGCGGCTTGAGCGGACTCAGTTATGTGCCTCGGCTGTGAGGAAGGGGGCAGGGCTTGCAAGTCTTAAAACCCGAAATAGAGCACATCCCTGGCATAAACACCAGTAGTGGCTTCTTAGCTGCTTCTCGAAGCTCTCGGTAACTCACAGGGGGCTACTTACATCAGCAGGAGGTTGCCTGGGGTTCCGAGAGGGGTCCCATCAGTGGATGCTTTCATCCCGCATAAGCAAAAATGGGATTTATGTAAGGGAAAGGAGGGAGTGGGGGCTCTTGTTGGCCTCTTTTGTGGGTGCAATTCCCAGGGGTCCCTAAGACCATCCCCGGGTTCAGGGATTCGCTAGAAGGACTTCCAGAAATCAGCAAAGTTACACGCGTGGTTACAGATGATGATAGCGACAGGATAGCCGTGAAAGTCAGCGAAGGGGAGAGGCGATGGGGCAGGACCAGGATACCTCATTGTCCCCGCGGTCTTTCCGGGGCTCGCGGATGGCGTGGGCTGTCACCGGCATCACGGAAACCCATTTCAGCGGACGGCTTGTCCGGAGAGCAAGTGTTCCCGTGGGGCACAGGTGACAGGTGTCCTGTCGTCTCTGCTAGTGGCTGTCCAGCAACCCACCCCCCCCCGCCCCCCAGCTTTATTGAGAACTAAGTCTTGACCCACTTTGCCTGTTGGATTACAACTTTTCCCTCCTGGGCATCCAGTTGTCCTTGTGCCTCAGTTTCTCCCTGGGACTGCATTTTGCCCATCACTTGTCTCTCTTTGTCATGGGGTCCCCACTGGTCTCATCCCCTGCAAGCTGACTCCTCTCCACCTCTTCTCTGCACAGTCCAGTGACCTTGGCCCAGCCCCTCGTGGCAGACGCTTCATGACGGGAAGGACTGAAATGTCTCATGGACGCCTGGTCTTTCCCTGATGTCCCTGCGGCCGCCGAGTGGGGGCAAAGACTGATGCCCCTGGTCCTTGCCTGTGTGTGTGCGCGTGTGTGCCCCCCAGCCCCCCGGAGTGTAGCCCTGCACCCTGCCTGCCTTGCTCCTTCCTCTTCCCCCCACCGCCTTTTCCCATCTCCCCACATCCCCCAGCCCCCTGACTACTCTCTGGCATTTGGGGTGGTCCTGCTCCTGGCTTCCTTCTCAGGGTGGCCAAGAGAGGGATCCGGGTGAGTGAGTGGCAGAGTTCAGCAGTATCGACAGCAGTTCACTATTCAATAAACATTGGAAGAGCTTAACAGAACGGGTCTGTGAGTGTCCGTTTTTCCCATGGAATCTGGGCTTCAGCATGTGAGCTTGAGGCAGGGGTACTGAGTTCAGCCCACGATGACAGGGCTCCCATGGGAGCTGGGGCTCGCACCCTTCCTCTGCATCTGGGTGGGCTGGTGAGTCCAGCAGCAATGGGACAGAAAGCAGAGGAGTCCTGGGACGTCAGAGCCAGCTTTGGTCACCACCTTGAGAGCATAGGAGAGCCGTTTCCATGCTCCATTCTGTCGGCTCTTGGAGCAAGTCACAGGGCTGAGCCCACTGGCTAGGGGACTGGGATCCTGGGTGGGCTCTAGCACTTGCCAGCGAAATTAGGAATTGGTTGAGTTGGATTAGCCCCTGGTAGAGCAAGATCGGCAAATGGCGGCGGCGGACAAGCTCGCTGAGGACCCCGTGGCCAGCCTTCACATGACGGCACGGGGCTGGGTTGGCTGTTACGGCCTCTCAGGCGGAGGATAGAGACTCGGGCGCCCCTCGGACCACAGCGTTGGGACTGTCGGTGGGGGGAAGTGATCAGAAGTCTCACAAGCCCACTTAGGAATTTTTCATGGGGCTGGACCATTTGTAAGACCCGCAGGGAGGCTGGCCACTCCAGTCTCACTTCAAACAGACCACCGACTTGGTATCTCGGGACACCTTTCATGGAGGGCCATTTCTTTCTTTCTTTTTCATTCTTTTCTTTTTCTTTCTTTCTTTCTTTCTTTTCTTTCTTTCTTTTTCTTCTTTCCTTTTTTTTCCTTCTTTTTCTTCCTTCCTTCCTTCCTTCCTTCCCTTTCCTTTCTTCCTTCTTTCTTTTCTTTCTTCCTTTCTCTTTCTTCCTTTCCTTTCTCTTCTTTTCTTTTTCTTTCTTTCTTCTTCTTTCTTTTCTTGCTTTTTTTTTTTTTTTAAAGATTTTATTTGACAGAGCACAAGCAGGGAGAACAATGGAGAGGGAGAGGGAGAAGCAGGCCGATGCGGGGCTCGATCCCAGGACCCTGGGATCGTGACCTGAGCCGAAGGCAGACGCTTAGCTGACTGAGCCACCCAGGCGCCCCCAACAGCCCTTTAAAGTGTATAATTTGACGGCTTTACTCTATTCACAGATAACAAGCACGCAGCACAACAATTTGAGAACATTTTCACCACCACAGAGGGAAACCCCTCCACTCCCCGCCCCGAGCAACCAGTAATTTGCTTTCTGTTTCTGCGGGATGTGCCTATTCTGAAGATTTCATATAAAAGGGGATCATACAATGCGTGGCCTTTTGTGTCTTGGCTGCTTTCACTTTAGTGTAATGTTTTCAAGGTTCATCCCCGTAGTAGCATGGATCAGCATTTATTCCCTTTTTTTTTTTTTCTTGTGGCTGAAGAATATGCCACTGTATGGATCCGCCACCTTTTGTCTATCAGTTCCTCAGCTGATGGACATTTAGGTTGTTTCTACTTTCTGGCTCCTGTGAATCATGCCACTGTGACCATGAGTTCACAAGGGTTTGTCTGAACACCTGTTTTCGGTTCCTTTGGGTGTACGCCTAGAAGCGAAATTGCTGGGTCCATGGCAATGATATTTTCTTTTTTTTTTTAAAGATTTTATTTATTTGAGAGAGAGAGAATGAGAGAGAGCGAGTACATGAGAGGGGGGAGGGTCAGAGGGAGAAGCAGGCTCCCTGCCGAGCAGGGAGCCTGATGCGGGACTCATCCAGGGACTCCAGGATCATGACCTGAGCCGAAGGCAGTCGCTTAACCAACTGAGCCACCCAGGCGCCCGGCAATGATATTTTCTAACCTCTACGGTGGTGGGTCACACAAAGACCGTTAGATTCCTCAGCACTGGGGAGCTCTTAATGCTTTTGGAATTATGGAGGCCACTTGCCTCAACTCAGATACAGTTCTAAGCTGAAGAACTCTCAAACCTGAGCCGCTCGTTCCAGGAGGACAGAGATGATGTGGTTCCTGCCTGAAGTCAATGCCGATGGCTCACGAGGTTGTGCCTGTGTTCCGCTGATCTATATGCTGTGATTTCCGGGAAAAGTCCCAAGACAACCATCAACAATAGCAGTGAGAAACAGTGCTCCCCACCACCGAGCATGTCTTCATTTCTAAGGATTCTGACGCTTTTCTTAGTCAAACTATTCTTTGGTGGCTGCGTTCTAAGCCAGGTAGAGACAGATCACAGAAAGTGGGCAACTAAGACTTGTCGGAGCCTGACCTTGACCCCGTCTGCCCGCTCAGTTCATATTGGGGTCTGCCTAGCGACACCACCTGCAGCTCTCACTTCTCCATTTGGCTTAGCGTTGGTTGTGCTGCCAATTGACAATTTTTTTTTTTTTAAGATTTTTATTTATTTATTTGACAGCGAGAGAGATAGCGAGAGCAGGAACACAAGCAGGGGGAGTGGGAGAGGGAGAAGCAGGCTTCCTACAGAGCAGGGAGCCCGATGTGGGACTCGATCCCAGGACCCTGGGATCGTGACCTGAGCTGAAGGCAGACGCTTAACGACTGAGCCACCCAGGAGCCCCGCCAATTGACAATTTAAATGACACAAAACTCTCAAGCCCTTTACGCAAGACATCCTACGTGTGAGGCTAGGCTAGGTTATGCTTCAGTGGAAACAAGTAAACAAAACCAAACCCAAATCTCAATGGATGAACACAACACATGCAAAGTCCTCTCCAGGGCAACTGTCCTCTGTGCGTGCGTTCAGTGGTCTAGAGAGGCACTGTCCAGCAGAATTTTCTTTGAGGATGGACTTTTTCTGTGCAACAATATGGCTGCCGGCTCCACGGTGCTGTTGAGCACTTGGAATGTGGTGAGTGTCACTGAGGAGCTGCTGAATGTGTTATTTTACTTTATTTAAATTTACATTCAGGGGCGCCTGGGTGGTGAAGTCGGTTGAGCATCCCACTCTTGGTCTTGGCTGGGGTGGTGGTCTTGGGGTCATGGGACTGAGCCCTGCATCTGGCTCCACGCTGGGCGTGGAGCCTGCTTAAGATTCTCTCTCTCCTTCTTCCTCTGCCCCTCCCCCTTGTGCACACGCTCTCTCTCTCTCAAATAAATCTTTTTAAAAAATAAAAAATAGGGCGCCTGGGTGGCTCAGTTGGTTAAGCGACTGCCTTCGGCTCAGGTCATGATCCTGGAGTCCCAGGATCGAGTCCCGCATCGGGCTCCCTGCTCGGCGGGGAGTCTGCTTCTCCCTCTGACCCTCTCTCATGCTCTCCGTCTCTCATTCTCTCTCTCAAAATAAATAAATAAAATCTTAAAAAAAAATAAAAAAAAATAAATTTACAATCAAATACGCATGGCATGTGCCAATGGTTACCTTATTTTTTTAAAAAGATTTTATTTATTTATTTGAGAGAGAGAGCCCAGAGGGAGAGTGAGAAGGAGAAGCTGACTCCCCACCGAGCAGAGAGCCCAAGGGGGGCTCGATCCCAGGACCCTGAGATCATGACCTGAGCTGAAGGCAGATGCTTAACGGACTGAGCCACGCAGGCGCCCCCAGTTCCCTTATTGAGCAGCTGCAGAGCTAAACTTCTGGAGACTCCTGTTGCTGCGTCTGGACCCACAGCATCCTCAGAACACCTGGCTGGGGAAGAGCGGAGAGACCCACGCACCGTCTCTTAAAGGCGTCAGCAAGGAAGTGACGCTCACCCGCTCTCCTCGCAGCCCATTGGCCAGAACGGGCACACGGCCCCGCCCACCGGCAGAACTGGGCAGGGGACTGCAGTCTTCCTGTATTCAGGAAGGGGAGGTGATCTGGAACAATTGGTGAGCGCTAGAAATACCTACCCTGGTCCTTTTATTTTAATTTTACCTTGTGCCTGGAAGAGAAAGTGCCACGATCCTATTTTTGCTTAACTGGGACAGTTCACACCTTCAAGAACAAAAAGAATGCAGCCGGGAAGGTCCCTCCTTTCCGCAACCGGGAGACACAGTGAATTCTTGTCCAACAGCGACACCGTGTGGCCATTTTGAGAACAGCACCCCCGCATCCCTCCGGGTAACCAGAGCATCCCCTTCTGGTCGTTGAGATTTCGTGTAGTCGAGTGAATCACCATGTTTGGCGTGGTGACATGACCCTTTTCAAATAAATACACAGAAGGGAAAAGTATATCTTCTCTCTCTTCAAGTGCTCTCTCTGGGCCCCTTCCATTTAGTCTATAACCAGTCCCAGCTTCAGTACTTGCTGGCTGTGGGACCTCAGACAAATGTCCTCACCTATCAGGGTGATGATTTAATGGAGGGAGGAAGCAAGGGAAATGGGGGTGAGGTATCAAAGCAACGCCAGGTGGAGGCTGGGCGTCACCAGGATCAAGTGCAAAATGAGAGGTTTTGCCCTCGAGGTTTTGCCCAGAGGTTTCCTCTGGGGGAAAGACTGAACCCCCCTCTCCCCTCAGCCCTACCTCGCAGTGGCTCCATGTCGCAGTGCCTCATGACAGGCTGTTCCTCTCACCTTAAAAAAAGTTGTGTTTTTTTTTTTTTTAACTTCAAGGACATTTATTGGGGCACCTGGCTGGCTCAGCCCATAGAGCGTGGGACTCTTGATCTCAGGGGCGTGAGTTCAAGCCCCACATTGCGGGTGGAGCCTATTTAAAAGAAATTCAAGGACATGTATTGTTAAGAAGTCTTGAGGTTGGTGGTCAGCTCAACAATGTGATCA